CAGGCCTTGAGAAGACAGGCATTAGAGAACCCATTTCTCAGAGGGGACTGAGTCCCTGGACCAAGTTCTGTCTAATTCAGAAAAGTATCAGCTGTTCTGGGGTTAGAACCTCAGGCAGCCACAAAGGCAGGTACTTTATTTGTACAATTGATATGACTTTTAGTTCATTCTGAGATGACAAACTTAATAACAAGATTTCTTAATTCCCATTCTAGTGGCTAATACCCTTAATTAGCTCTGCCTCAAATGTGCCCTGTTTGGGATAGACTAATATCTTGATCTTGGGAGTCCATTCATTAGCAGGAAAATCTCACCTTCAAGGATCTCTTATTCGGTGTTCCTCCTTTTCTAGTTAAGGTCATTTACAATCTAAAACAGCTAAATAAATACTAAATATAGTATATACATAGTATGTGAATAGCCAAATTTATTGAATACTTGACTTTTAATATGTCATCCCTATCAAGCCTCCAAGACTACTTACTACACAGAGCAGCCCTGCAACAACCCTGATTTAAATGTTGTATGTTTGATTGTGTCCAGGTGATCATAATCTTGAAAATTTTGGCACATTCAGCATAACCTATAGTTAACAGTGCTCTGTCGAATGCAGCAAAGAGACACATGGGTCTCTGTTCAGCACGCTCCTGAGATTTCTAAGTCACACAGGAGTGAGCTCTGGGGAAGGTTCTATTTTGGGAAGTCATATTCTACATGGATGAGTAACTATCAGTCAAAGGAGGTCCAGGATGCATTGTTATCCTAATGATTTAACAGTCCCCTCATTGGTCTTCACTTGTCATGGCTATCTACTTAAAATTTTGCATGTGATCCTAGGACTTCTAGTAGTTACACATCAAAATTGCATACACCTACAGCACATTTTCCACAGCCATAATGTCTCCAGAATTGTTATAAGCTCATCCAATTCTTTGAAGCAACTAAGGAACAATCGCTCTGAAATTTACCTTCCATTTTTCTGTCAAAAAAAAATCAGAACTATGTAGGAGTTGCTGGATTCAGGATTCAGGATTTTTTAGTGATAGAACTGGCTATAAAGAAAGAATGAAATTTCAGTTCTATATTATTCTTTTCTTTACATATTTTGAATGCTGGAATTCTGGTTCAGGAAAAGACCTGAAGCAGAACTGACCTAGAAATCATTATGGTTTTCCGCAGTCTCTCTGTGGACCACATGTTTTCACTGAACAGTAAATAAACAATGAATGATGATTGTGGGCTAGAAAGACACAAAACACAGCTTCAATCACAGTGAAGAGTAAATCAGCAACAAATGAAAATGTATATGTATTTGTTTAGTGCAGCAAAAAAAACTATAAATAAAGTGACTCTTCAACATTGAGTATGTAAACAGTAAACTATCAATGGAGATTGAGAACTGAGATATTAGAAACTCAAGAAGGAAAACCAAAGACTTCCGCCAAGATGGAGGCATAGGTGGAGACGCCGTGCTTTCTCACACAACCAAGTTTAGAGACAACAAAATGGCTCAAGAAGATCTCAAAGCCCCAGAGCCTATAAATCTAAGCGATGAAGAAATAGCAAAACTCTCAGATGCACAGTTTAAAACACTGGTGATCAGGATGCTCACAGAACTGGTTGATTTTAGTCACAAATTAGAGGAACATATGAAGGCTAAACTAATTGAAATGAAGGGAATTAAACAGGAAACCAATAACAATGAAAAGGAAACTGGGACTCAAATCAATGGAGTGGACCAGAAGAAAGCAAATAATGGCCAAACAGAAAAGAGTCAAGAAGCAAGAATTCAAAAAAAATGAGGAGAGACTTAGGAACCTCCAGGACATCTTTAAACACTCCAACATCTGAATTATAGGGGTACCAGAAGGGGGAAAGGACCAGCCATCAGTGGAAAACTTATCTGAACAAATAATAAAGGAGAATTTCCCCAATCTGGCAAAGGAAATAGACTTCCAGGAAATCCAGGAAGCTCAGAGAGTCCCAAAGAAGTTGGACCCAAGAAGGAACACACGAAGGCACATCATCATTACATTAGCCAAGATTAAAATGAAGGAGAGAATCCTAGAAGCACCAAGAGATAAGGAGACAGTCACCTACAAAGGAGTTCCCATCAGACTGTCAGTGGATTTCTCAAAAGAGACCTTACAGGCAAGAAGGGGCTGGAAAGAGATATTCCAAGTCATGAAAACCAAAGACCTACAACCAAGATTGCTCTATCCAGCAAAACTTTCATTTAGCATGGAAGGACAGATAAAGTGCTTTTCAGATAAGATCAAATTCAGGGAGTTCATCATCAGCAAGCCCTTATTATATGAAATGTTAAAGGGACTTATCTAAGAAAAAGAAGATAAAAAATATGAACAGTGAAAAGACAGCAAACTCACAGTTATTAACAACCACATCTAAAACAAAAGCAAGCTAAAAGGACAGCTAGATCAGGAGCAGAACCATAGAAATGAAGATCTTATGGAGGGTTAGCAACAGGGGAGTGGGAGGAGAAGGGGGGAGAAGGTACAGAAAATAAGTAGCATAGACGGTAGGTAGAAAATAGATAGGGGGAGGGCAAGAATAGTATGGGAAATACAGAATCTAAAGAACTTGAGACACATGGTCATAAACTAAAGGGGGGAATGGTAGAGGTGGGGGAGGTACAGGGTGAAGGGGAATGAAGGGGGGAATAGAACAACTGTAATGGCATAATCAATAAAATAAAAATTTTAAAAAAAGGAAAACCAATAATTTAAATAAATAGATTTTTCTTTGTGTTTAAAATTCATAGGAAAAAGAAAGGACCTTCTAACTTAGAAAATACAACTATTGGCCCCATATATAATCAAGAAGGAAAAAGTCCAGTCCAGGCAGCAGACTGCAGCAGACTAAACTCACTTAAATAAAGGCCTTAACAGAGGTGAATAAAAAGAGGACATACAGGGAGGAAAGGGCTGTCATAAATATAACTTATAGTTAGTTGGGGCTACATTGGAGTAATGAACTTTACTCAGACCTTCTGGAACATGGGAGCTGAGGGAAGACAAATGTTGGGAAAGGAAGAAATGGCAGAGCTCACACCAACTCTCACCAAAAACCTGAAGGTCCAGTCTTTGGAACAGTAGCTATGTGCATTAAGACATGTAGAGAAGATACTTTTAGAGCTGGTTTGAGAAATATTTTCTCTATGAAGGTGTGATTTGTTTAGTTAGGCTTTAATTCCTCTGATAAAATTTATTGTTTTTGAATCGGGGGGGAATTCAAATTACTTTTAAAGTGTCACAAGAATTTCAGGCATGTTACAATGCCATCATCTGATGTCCATTGTCCAACCCTTTGAGCAACTTGTTTAAATGACGAAGCTACACCTACTTTGAAATGAGAGACAGAGTCATGAATGAATCTTGGCCTGGTATACCTTGTGGCCTTGTAATTATGTGATGTCCTAAAGAGATCTATGTCAAGTTTCTAGGGCAACAAGATATGCTTGTAACTGTCTTAAGGTTGTGAACTACCCAATTCCCTTTATAGCGGAGTGTAACAAAGAAGCAGGGGTAAGGATGGTAGCCCAGGGTCTTTCTCTAAAGCAGATAGCAACTCCCTCAGAATGAGCATAGAATTGACTGTGAAGTCCATTAAGTTAATAAGACAAAGAAGAAAGAGAAGGGAAATAGTGTCCCTTAGAAGAAGTTCAACGTTTCTCTCCACTGTTCTTTATTTTCAAGACCCACTGAAAGTTACTACATTTCAGGATAATTTATTGGCTGTACTCATGGATAAAGCAAAATGTTGTTACAGTCTTGTTTCTAAAGTAAAACATTTTTCTTTAGCTTCTTCAATTACCACTTCTGTAGAAATAGACTGAGAAAGCCAAATGCATAACTTTTGTGAGCTCACACAAAATTTGAGGTTGGCATGATCAGATGTACATTTTAGAAGTATATCTGGGGCTACAGTGTGAAAGATGAATTGAATGGGAAAAGTAACTGGCAGGGAGATCAATTAGTGGAGGAGAGAGGATGAGGCTCTGAACCAGAAATTTCATTATCCTTCATATGCACACATACTTTGAGGATTTGTTCTAAAGCTTCCTCAAGCTCTAAAATTGCCCCTATATTCACATATCAAATAATGAAGCTCTGTAGAGATGACTGAACAAAATTGACACTACTCATGCTTTTGTACTTTAACCATGAGCTTTGGCCTCCCCTGCAGCCCCACCTCAGACCACAGTACTGCTCTCTGAGGTTCAATTTCCTATAAAAGCCTTTCCATTCTCTGGTCCTCTAGTTCCTGTAAGTCTCTCTCCCGCATCCTCAACCCTCCTTACCTCCCAGCTTTCTCCAACCATCTGAAATATTTCTTTTACACATGGAAACCATTGCTCTACATAGAATGTTGTGGGAAAAGTGTTTTCCATTGAGATTTTAATACTTTTTAAAATACTGCCTAGAGATTAGTAGCTCTTTGGACCTACTTAACTATATTCCAGTCTTTCTTGGTCACCAGTAACACGATATATGTCAGCATTTTCCTGATAAACAGAACCAATAAGATACACAGAGATATACATAATAGATTTATACATAAGAGGAAAATTGGCTCACATATTTATGGATGCCAAAAAATTCCCACCATCTGCCAACTGCAAACTGTAGAACCAGGAAAGCTGGTGGGGGGGTATACACATAATTCAGTATAAGTCCAAAGACTTGAGAACTAAAGAAGTCAATGTGCAAGGGCAGGAGAAGATGGATATTCCAGCTCAAGAAAAGAAAGCAAATTTGCCCTTCCTTCATCTTTTTATTCTATTCAGGCCCTCAACGGATTGCGTAATAGTCATCCACACTGGTGAAGATATCTTTACTCAGTCTACTGACTCAAATGCTAATGTCTTCTAGAGATATCCTCATAACCACACTAAGAAAACATGTTTACCAGGTATTTGGGAATGCCTTAGCCCAATCAAGCTAACAATGAAAACTAACCATCAGAATGAAAATAGGAGAGTGCTTGCTTTGGCAGCGCAAGTACTAAAATTGGAATAATATAAAGATTAGCATGGCCCCCACACAAGGATGACATGCAAATTTGAGAAGAGGAAAACAACTCATTTACCTTCTTTGTTTACACACAGCCACACATCCGCCTTTTTGGGAAAGTGTCACCTTAGATTGTTTTGACTCAGGCATTGATTGCACACCCATCAAGTGTAGGAAGTTAAAAGCAAGAGTGACCATCATATTACTTCTCAAAATTCTGATATTTAAAAATTTCAGTGTTTTATGATGAATTAGTCACTTGTTTTCCGCATAAACCCTCTGTAATAACTTCACTGATATGGAAACTGGGGCTCAGAGAAGTGGGCTTTTCTGCCTACTGCAACATAGTTGAATGTAGCAGATCTGGGATTCAGTCTAACGTCTCCTGGGCCCATACCTGGTTCTTTCCCCTCCTTCCCATGAGATAAATGTGTAGGTATGAAGTCAACTGAGCATATTTATCATCTTGAAAGCAGGCATTTTTCACTTTGTATCTCCTCCTTAGTTTTCCTAAATAGTTTCATTAGCAAACACTCAACTTTGAAAAATTTTCCAGTTCGCCAAAGCTTGTTACACTCTTCAGTATTCATAAACATTATTATTTTCCTGCAAAACTGAATAATCTCTGTATTTAGTGTGTATACCCATGCTGAGTCAAAGAGAAAAAGGTATCTTTCAATGTGTCAACTTTCCTATAATTCTCTTAGGTCATGGCTATTTAAACCCTCAAATCTATAAATTGGCTTTTACATCACTGTCTCCAGGGATTTTTTCAGTTAAAAAATTACAACTTTAATCTTCATCTCCAGCATACAAATTGAGAAGAGAACAAGTAATTTCCATCATCCAATTGCTGCTACAAATTAAGCCAGCTCACTGGAAATTATAGAATTAGTGCCTGGCATTTTATTTTTGCTGTGAAAAACATTTCTAGAAACTATACTTGCTCAGATCCCTTAGCTAAAATTGTAGCATCCTATAGACAGAATTCTTTATGCCTCATCTTCTTGGGATAGAAGTTACTAGGGATAGAACTTCTAGGGATAAAAATTCCTTTCATCCATCTAGTCCCACCTCCAAACTCCAACCAAGCAAAGTGGTTGGAAACATTTAAATTTCTTATTATTATTTGTTTGGTTTCTCCTTATTCACTACATTTTAAACTAAACCACAAGTCCTCTCTGGGGATATGGATTCCACACTTATTCATGATTTGAGCACATCTGGGACTTGTTGTGTAGTGAGAAAAACAAGTGTTCTTGTTCCTCAGACACACTGTTAGATAACAACATGGCATTAGCTAAGTCTGTTAATTAAAGTCTGGGTTATCCAGGACTGAAAACAGTTATACAACATTCTTTTTCTCATTATGGGGGCAAAGTCACTTTCCTCCCTCCCTGTTTTTCTTAGAATTTCTCTTACAGATTATTACTGCAGACATAATTAGGCAGGTATATTTGGAGCTGAGAAGGGCAAAACTATATGAAATGTAAGCAAATTCCAGCAAGATATTTGATTTCTATGGATTGCTAAGACATTCCCTTTAGATATCCCAAGGGAAACTTTATTCACACCTCTCAACAAAATATATTAGATCAATCAAAACCAGCTTTACCTGGTGTATGTATCATAAAAGACCCACCTTTTCAGATCCTGATTTGAAAAGGAATGTTTGGAGATATTAATAACTTAGATTATATTAGGTAACACATGGAAAAAATACTAAGGCCTATAGAAGATTATATCAATTCAAATTTACTACAGCTATTGTTTCTAACATTTTAAATATTTTACATATTTCTGTAGCACCTTGGTTTGGATATCAGAAGGACTTCCCCATGTTTTGTAAGTAATAATTTACCACCTACAAAATTTAAGTCCAAGGCTTGTTGTTGCCAAAAGTATCTTTTGATAACTTCAAGTTTGTCCATCAGAAGATCAGAGACAATTCCCTGATTGTGAAATTAGTAAAGGCATTACTATTGAGAGTATCAGGAACTCTTCCTCCATTAGTTTCTTATGCTCTTTGCACTGCTTACAAGAGGCTTGCTGCCTAGCTGCAGGTTACTCATTCTGGGTGAGGAAAGTCAGGAAAAAGAGAAAGTCAAAAGAAGAGAAATAGGGGCAAAGACTAAGGAAGATAGTATATCAGACAGGATAGGTTAGGTTATACTATGTTAATTAACCCCCCCCCACACACACACACACAAAATCTCAGTGGGGTTTTATGTTAAAACATAAAGGTTCATTTCTTTTTCATACTACATAACCTTTTTGGACATCATGGAGACTCTGGTTGATCATCACATCTTCACTCAGGGATGTAGACTGATGGAATAGCAACCATTTGGAACAATGCTCTTCCTCATTAACATGAGGGAAGGAGAATGTGGTGATGTGTACTCTAGCTATTAATGCTTCCATTGGAAAGTGACAGGTATCAGTCATGCTCATGTTTTGTTGACCAAGTAATAGTCACATGATCACACCTACTGTACAGGGAAGTATAATCTTACTTTGTGGCCAGAAGGGAAAAGCTAAATATTTATCATAATCCTCATGAGTACTGTATTCGGAGAAGAAAGAGACAAGGTCAATAAACAGCTCTGGGCCTAAGCTGAGTGCATTTTTCCAGGAAGGGAAGCATGAAAGGGCAGTGTCTACTTTAAGTAGGAACCTCGTGCTTGCAATAGGATATCTAAGACACATGATAAATAATTTCCCCAAGTTCCTGTAGGTAGGAAGTAGCAGAACTAGGTTTTTTGGGTTTGTATGCCCATGTCCACTGCCTCTCCCAAGTACCAAATTGTCCCGCTGAGTAATTGAAATCTTAATTTCTACCTCCAGGCAGTTCCCATGAAGCTAGGTAAAAACCTAATACGGGGTACACACTAAATTAGTGAAACTACCATGTTGATATAAGTTAAAATTTAAGTTGTATGACAATAGGTCTAAGGAGTTCAGGGAAAAGGTGCTCGGTATATCCAGGGTTCAGCCATGAAGGGAAGGCTTCCTGAAGGAGACAAGATTCACAATCCACCTCAGGTGATAGATAGGATTTGTTCAAGGGAAGGAGAGAGCAGAGAATCTTCAAAATGGGCAGAAGAACAAGAGAAAAGGCAAAATGGAAGGAGAGAGTACTGCACCAGTGAGAAACCCTGAGGAGTCTAGACTAAGTAGGATGAAGGCAACATGCCAGGACACCAGCTGGATGGGCCAACTGAGAGCAGATCACTCAGCATGGGAGCCCACTGTGTGCAGAAGGGGTAGAGACGGGAATCCATGAAGGGTCCCTGAGCAGAGGCATCGACTGGCAAGCTTGGTGTATAAAAAGGTTGAGTAATAGCAAGATGATTTGGAAGTGGGCAAGAGAGAGTTACAAGGAAACTCCTCTCAGAAGACCATTGCAATGACCCTGATGATGGGCAGATTTCGAGTCCATGTTTAAGACGACAAAACTCATCAGGTCAACAGTATTTTCAATCTTGACTTTAGTTCACTGACAACTTTTGGCTGCTCATTCTTAGAAAAGAGTGTGTAAGTTACAATCCAGGAATCAACTTTCCCCTAGGTCTTCAGAATGAGCAGGGGTTAGCTAGTGAAGGCAGCCCTTTGGCAGGGAGGTCAGGAGGCAGTATCTGCTCACCAAACCCTTGCATCAGGGAGGTGAAGAAGTCACAGCCCCAAGAATGCTGAGCTCACCATCTAAGCTTGAGGGGTGACCTATTTGAGATAACAAAACTGGACAAACCTGGGCCTATAATTATTTGTCTTAACATGAAAACAAACCTTGCCCAGATGCAAACCTCCAACTCCCTGCCATTAATTCAATAAACAAGCACAGCTTTGCTAGAGCCAAGACTCTCACATGCATCCCTGGGAAAACTTAGTTGCCTACTTAATGCTATTACTGTGATTAATAAAGACAAACCTACTTCTGGCAATGCCCTATGAAAGAAGTGGCAGCCACCTTTTAGAATACATGAGCCAGGAACCCTGTACCACCTCCTGACCAAAGATCAATGCATTAACCCACCACACACACAAACGCACTGACACTCAGGCCCCTTGTGCACTCCCACCATTAGGAAAGGGACTGTCTTCCTTCCGCCCCTCCTTTCCCTGGCCCTTTAGGCCAGCCCAACTGAACCAATTGTCCTCTCACCAGGCTCCTGGAAGTTTAGTCATTGAAGCAGCTGGAGGGGACAGAGCAGTCAGACCATTTCTGCAGACATGCAGTGGTGAAGCTAAGCTGGGACTCATTCAGTTCAATTTATACTCTATTTCCTTCTGATTTGATGGTGCTTTTACTTTCATGGCTCCAAAAAAGCATTTTTGTCAAAATACACATCATAGCATTAGCCCTGCGGAGGAGGCACTTAACAATGCCCTCCCCTGTGAGGGCATGAACGAAGAGGGGTGTGACATAACTCCTGTTTATCTGCTGGCAACTGGCACTCCCACGGTAAGGCAGAAAAGATCTTGCTGTTTCCATTAGGAAGCTTTCTCTTCCTGAGGACTGTAATTAGCTAAATGCTCTTAAACTCCACTGGGGAAACAGCTGGGTATATTTCCAGGTGATGGTTCAAAGCTTTACCCAATACAAATTTTTTCCTTTCTAGATGTTAATTGCAATCTGGGAAAAATAGGAAAAACAGCTAGTAAATAACAAAGTTGGAAACTCAGGCAGGAGGCAACTGGTAGCAGGAGTATGTGCTGGGGGCGAAGGAGGGTGGCTGTGAGGGCAGTTCTGATATATGCAGTCAGCCTGCCCAGGCAGAATGGGCACTGGGGAAAGTCAACTGGTCGTAAGCTGAGTCCAGGTGATAGAGGCCAAGACCACATTAAGACTTTGAGAAAATAAAAGGTTATGGTCCACTCCTCCCCAGAGGCAAGTCAATACAAACGCATAGTACAAAGTCTAGCCGTATGGTAAGTACTCAATACATTTTATACCATTCGATGCCTGCCCACAACGTTTAAAGGTCTTATATCCCCACTACACAGAAGAGGAAATGAGGATTAGAGAAATTAAATATCTTGGGTTATACCATGCAAATAATAAATGTTAGAG